AAAAAACTTCGTTTATGGATTTTCATATGAGGCTTCCCCTATGTTTGTAACACTACCGATATCTAACCCCCCAATATTTAGTGATAATAATATTTCTAAGGCCAGGTACTGCTTAACAAAGAATTATTTTTTTTAAAAAAAAAACACCTCCCTATGAATCTTTGGTGCTTTTACTTTCGGTTGTTTTGTGAGTTAAAATTTTCGTAGAAATTCAGACAGAAGAGCTCATAGAATATAGAGTAAGAGAGATCTTTGACTTTCCGCCCGCCTAAAACTTGGCCGTAAAAGCGATGATCATTTTTGGATGTTTCCATACTTCTATTTCTTTACCCCCCCCTGTTTGTATACGAAATATTAATATAGGAAGAATTTTTATAAATGACAAAAGTTTTGTGAATATATTTTTTTAACAAATTACACGATTGGATAAGTTACACATAATGTTTGAAAAACTCATAAAAATCTCGTTGATGAGAATAGAATTTGTAGGGACTCTTATAGTAGTTCACTGCTGTCAAGAAAAACAGTAATAGAAGTAGGAAAAAAACTAATTACTGTATTGTCATCGAATAAGATCATATGAACTCTTCAAAAACCACGAATGCTATGTAATGGGACCATATTTAGTTGTAATATTGCTTGTGCAACCGTCATAATAATATATGTGTGATATGACACAAAATTTTAATAGTAAAACATACTGTATGAAAAGCCTTTCTTTTCAACAATCTCTCATGCCCTTGTGTACTACGCAAAGCACGATAATTTTTGTATTCTTCTGAAGCTAATTGGTTGTGCCTTTCGAAAAAAAACCCCCCGATAAAATTTATATATTACGTTACAAATCAGTAGCTCGACGAAATGTGTGTATACGTGCTATACATATATTTTTATATATATTTTATATCGTGCTTTCAAGACAGCTACTTCAACTTGCTAGTACTAGCAATAATCTTTTTTTTCTTTTTCGAAAGCATAGTACACAAGATCACGAGAGATTGTTGAAGAGAAGGGCCTTTCATATGTTTTACTATTAAAATTTTGTTACCTGGTCATTTATTGGAGGAGGCTGTACATAGGTAAACTCAATAAGTCGAACACGACTGGGGCTGTTCATCGACTTATCAAAGAATCCGACTCGTCGAGAAAACTTTAAATATGACAAAGCACGATTATAATTATTGTTATAGTTAATAATTCAATAATGTGGGACTTTATTTCCTAGCTATACATACGTGCTACAGCATCAGCCTAATATATACATACTGGATAGTTGAGAGGTGAATAAAGAATACAAGTTAAGCAAGATGGGGGAGAGCTAGAGTGCTTACATGTTGAAATGGATTTGAAAGAGTGTGTGGGGTGAGGGAATATAATTAATATATGAATAATAATCATACGAGTGAATCAAACTTTTTCAACACCATTCTCAGCAGGCGCTTCGATATCTTCCGAGTGAGCACCATCCTTTACGACGTTGTCTACGCTTACAACGTATTCCTTTAAAAATAACTCTAATGCAAGATGTCTTTTTTCCATCGCTTCAAATTTCTGGTCGACCGAAAGATCATTTGATAATATAGGACCCGAGAACGGAATATTCGGACGTAGACTTTGGTAGAGGGCTGACCTAACTTTGTAGCGGGCGCACGGAAGATTTTGAATCAAACCCCATGGACTCATTTCATCGGAGCCTGTGAAAAAAAAAGAGTAATCGATATAGACGTTTAACAAAATACGCACGCTTGACAGAAAAGCAGAGTAATAAATCCAAGGAATTGGATAGAATTTCGTTCACATACCGAATAAAAATAGATAGATTCCCATTGCAAAAGTGTAAATACCACCCACAGCACTGAGGAAATCACTCACCGTCAAATCGCTAATATTAAGGAGTTAATATATGTTAGCATAAAAGTATTTATTAACATCAGCAATATTTTGTTTTTCATTTGAGCAGTTTGTGTCATGTATACTTACGAGTTTTCGGTTTCCGTTATGACTATATAAGAATTGGGACTTATTATTACATTCGCGTAACTTCCGACAGCGATGTTGGGGTACGATACTAAAAGCAAAATGTGCGATTAGTATGTAGTTTCTCTCTCGATAAAGCGGGCCTCGCTAATTAAATAAGGTATAATCTAGTTTACCGAGTATGCTGTTTATCATTGTTATTGTTTTATGGTCGCCGTTTCCAGACAGTACGTTTTTAGCATTTTGGTGAAGGGCACTTAATTTATTGCGTGAGTAAAAGAGGTAGTACGACTAATCACGTGAGGATTATTGTTATTAGTATATCGTGGAGCTAACGTATCAAAATATAATTATTTCATTTATTGACATGTTAGAATCCGCTCACCTGGTTGTTAGCTAAATAGTAAGAGTTATCAAGCTCTGCCGTAGACTTATAACCAGAAACTCCTTTTATGCGTGGCGTTTTGGACGCTGATGCCAAATCAGACTCCGTATCTATGAGAAGTTTTTTAATTAGAATTGTTTTGTTGAATAGCATAACGATTTTGCTCATGTAACTTGTGTGGAATATACCTCTATCAGCAAAAAACGCTCCCAGACCAGCATCGCCGCCAGTAAACTTTGGATCCGTTATAACAATCAACAAGCCAATTTCTGATAAGGCATTTGCATTATCGTTAGGGTTATCAAACCCTAAGTCAGGTGCACTGAAGTTTAACAAGTAACCACCGAAATATTGATCGTAATAGGTGTTGGTGACATACTTATTACAATCATCAGTCGCTAAAATACCAAATTAACGCACACGTATCAATATTGATTATTAACGAATAGAAAATTACGTCACTGTTTCAACATACTGTTATCATAATAGAACGTTACGCAGTCGATTTTGAAGTTATAAGAAGAGAGAAAAGTGGCTTCTGAAAGAGAAAAAGAATGACATGATATTAAATTCAATATCAGTTTCATTTGCATTAATAGGAAATATTATGTACTTGGGGCAGGAATGGGGCTACTATCGTCTTGTTTATAGCTTAAAGTTCTCTCATCTTGGCTCAGCTCATATGCTTTCCAGCCAAAATAGATTAATACGCCTGTGTAGCAAATCAATAAAGATATTATTCTCAACCATCTGATAGCAGTGAGCTCAGAACTTCGTGAAGGAAATCTGTTTTTAATGAATTTTTTTATCGATTTTGTCATGGTGAAATATAACAACGAGGGGTAAAAATTTAAATATACTGGTCAATATATTTTTAGGGTATCCTTTTGTTATGCAAGGATAATCGCGACTATTGGGAAAAGGCGCGAGGTTTTATAACTTTTATCTTTGGTGTACTGTTGTATATTTAACAATTCTGCAATATGAGAACGTGATGATCTATTGTTTGGGTGATTTTTTATAAAACTAATAGTAACACAGAGACAATGTCAAGTAACTATCGCGAGGAACTTTTATTCACAGACAATGTCAAGTAACAAATTGTGATTTTCGTCATTTGTCTGCAATTTAACCTAATCTGACTGTTTTGGCGTACAAATGTGTTTGTGTTCAGAACTTTTTTTTCCCCCCGCTTAACAAGGTTTGGGCTCTCTGAATCTTTTGCCAAGGGTCTGTGCTACAGCAAAAGAATCGCGTGATAAGGATGCCCGTAGTCTTTATTGCCAAGAAGCTGCCGTGTCATCAAGTCGGGTTTACCCACGCACAAAATTTAGTTGCTTTGACTGGAAGTCTATTTTTCATATTATCGCTCGGAATTGGTGCTTGGGCAAAACTTGTTTCGGACAAGATTGTAGATGCTTTGTTTTTACCGAAATGGGTATTTTTTGTTAGCATATTAAAATTGTGTGCAGCAACCGCTATTTTTAGTATTCTATCTGCATATTGTATACCCTCACGACATATTAACTTTGTGCAACTACACAAACTTTTTTTAATGAAAATTCTTTCCTACTTTTTTAAGCAAGACCGTCGACATCCTAAGTTCTTAAACACATACTGTATCTTCTGGATTGATCGTTCATCGAACCAAGTTTCCAGAAGGAGCATACGTAAGTAATTTTCAGAATTCTTCACGTTAAAAGAATTTGAGCTTTAAGCGGTTGCGTTTATCGATCGAATGCAGGGGAAGATAATGATGTGACCACATATTGAGTTTAAAACTAGCAGTTGAAAAGATTATAATTAAAATAAATACAATTATTTAACAAGCACGCTAATAACAGTGCATAAATAAAGCACGTTACCATATTAATATATAGAACTTGTCCAAAACGCCAGCGTGTTGCAGACAAAACCAAAAAAACATTGCAGATGTGATAATCTATTGTCACTTATTGGAACAGAGCACTTCCTTAAAATCGGACTTCATTGTGTAATAGCAAATGGCGTACGCTAAGAAACAGATAGAAAAATGGTGTGTTTGAGTTGGGGGCCTGTCTCAGTCCAGAACTCAGTTATCTCAGTCCAGAACCGAGACAAGTAGGTACAACATACCTAAAATTTAAAATCTGTAGACATTGTCCGCAGTGGAACTAGTACTAGTTTGACATCGAGTTATCCGATCACAAAGTTTTGGTTTTTTCTTGTCTCTGCTAAATCTTTCGTGCATTTAGACAATTCCAATTTTAGCCAACAGTTAGGTAACATGCCACAAACCAATATTGCTAACAAGTTGCGAGATGTAAAATCCGTGCTACCAGTATAGCAGTAAAAATAGTTGTAGTACGTTTGAAAATGGAGTCAGTACTACTACGTATATGATGTTGGGGTCATGTTATCATCAAGGTTCAGTAACTAAAAATCACTAGACAATTTCTATCATTTGCTGTGTTAAAATGTCGGCTTTACTCACGTATAAAATTCAGTTTTTTTGTTTGAAGCTTATCGTTGCGCTTGAGTATGATTGTCAATTATTATTGTTTTTTACAAAAGCTTTTTGCTTTCGATTTTTGACTAAGAATTATCACTACTTTTGTTTTCACGAACATAGTTATCTGATGGTCATCCTTTTCTTTGACAAGCGTGCACGGAGTTTGCAATATTTGCACCACGTCACACTGGGTAAATACTATACATGTGAATTCTGCTTTGTAAACATTTCCGTTTACGGAAAGCCTTTTTTTTTTTTTCGTGTGCAAAATTTTTTTAAACGAGTCGTTTATTAATTAATTACAGACTGTATCTTCTGAATTGGACTAGGTTTGCTGAAACAAATATAGGTAAGTGTTTGAGGTTTTAATTTTAAGCTCATGCGCCTGTTTACGTGTGCTAATGCAGGGAGAAATAATGGTCAGGTGAACAAGTGTTGACGTTACACGACATTCGGAGAACACAACTCCGCTCGACTTCAAAACTGTTTGCTTATGGACACACGTTTCTGAATGTTCTAAGCGAGCCGTTGTAATTGTTCTAATATAAAGTCACCCAGGTTCGCTATACAGGTACATTCTATTATAAATACTTATCTGTCTGTATGCTGTGTGTCTATTACTATTGCCGAAACTTTCTGAACTCCGAAAACCGAAATGGATTCTTTATCAGTGTTGTACGAACCCATTGTAATACAACGGATAGACTGGAGATCTATTGTGCGAAATTCTTAAAATGATAGAACAGCACAATAGATTTGTTATGGAATCGACTGTGAGGAACGTTACCATATATCAAATTTTGTTCCAAAAATGTCACTGTGACGTGCAGACAAAACCAAAAACATACTAGACGACTTATTACTTTTGATGAGATAATCAAACAGTAAAGATAATGTTCTATTGTCGATTACTCATTTTATCGGAACAGGGCACTTTCTAAATTGGACTGCATTATGTAATAACAAATGGCGTAAACTAGGAATTTTGAGGAAACAAGTATATGCAGTCAACCATTCATATATGTAAATGTCTTATTCTCCAAGCTTGGGAGTTAGTAAATGTATTCACACCCTCCATATTCTGCATTGCACGGTTTTGTTCACTTCCCACTATGAATTCTACCCTCTCTATGTGCACGCCCGCAATTTTCATGTGATTTGACAAACGATAATTATATTACGCGAGATATTTAAATGAATGGACCTAATAGCATTTGATTGATGGATTTTTGAATAACCCCTGGGAAGAAGAAATAATTATAAAGTGCCCAATGACAACGCATTCATAAAAGAGTTTGACAAAATCGGACATTCATATTGATTATAGTGAAATTGATGACAGCTAAACCACCAATAGTTAATGTCAACGATAGTTAGAATTAGTTTCATTCCTTTCCAACAACAAGATCTAAGGAATTACTCAAACATGTTAATGCTCTTGATTATTATATCGGTTTAAAGTTGTGAATGCAAAGAAACAAACAACGATGGTCAATTTTTTTAGCCAGCAACAGTAGAGTAAACGGTTTGTCTTTCATTATACAATATATCAATATCACGTGCAACCAATAAGATGCTGACCCTCTATATATGACGACTGATCTATGAAAATAAGTAGTTGGTGATTTGGAGTTCAAATTTGGTTTTTGTGTGGGATATATACTCGGGGATGCTATCTACCCTGTGCCTTTTTCCTGACCGCAAACGTAATAGTAAAGTTTTTCACAACAGCAGTTACAAGTCGGTAGCACGATGCAAGAAAGTCAAATCTGTACCCCAAATCCTTGCCGATCAATAGTAATAAGCGACGCTACGGTTCTTTTTCCTGTCCGTTATAAGGCAGACATATCTGTATAATGAAGTAAGAGAGGTTTGCTGATGATTTTTATAACGATATAACTTGTCCCAGACCGCCAGAAATTAGATAAAGTCTACTCGTTGATTATTGGTCGTTTATATTTG